AAAGAGTGGGGAGAAGGGGTGAGCTCAGAAGTGGCTATTTTGGATGCTTCCCTTCTCTCCAGGCAAATGGTCTCTGATCCAGGTATGACCAGAGTTGCCAAATAAGTGCTTTTGGCAGGATTCCCTGCTCCCTGGCTGCTGGGATCATGTCTTCTTCCCAGGGCCCTGTCCCTGGTGGAGGGGTCCGTTTTCAGCAGCTTCAGTCAGATGCATCTGTGAGTCTGTCCCCACCATTGCTGGAAGGGGACGGTTTTCCAGAGGAGAGGGGCTGTCAAGCTCCCTGCTAGGGAGGTGATGATCATATGGGCTTTCCAGGAGGATGTACAGAACAGAAGCGGGGCGGTGCGTCCCTGCTGTAGGAGGCACACTGAGAGCTGGCTGAGACCTGCTCCCACTTGGCAAGAGCCAGCCTGTCCCCAGCTCTGTCTTTCTGCAATGGCTGCAGGCATTGGCAGCATGCATGGGGCAGCAGCAGGGGAGGAGGTAAATATTCACACCACGCATTGGCAGCATGCATGGGGCAGCAGCAGGGGGGGAGGTAAATATTCACACCACGTTGGGGTCTCTGGGGACACTCAAGCCTCCCTGATGCATTTGGCCTCACAGAGAAGGAAGCAGCTCTGGATGCATGCTCTGTCATCCTTCACCATGGGGTGAAGGTCAGGGAGGCCATAAGGCAGGTCTCTGATCTCTCCTGCATTGATGTCCAGCTCTGGGGGAAGGCAAGGAACTTTGGCCTCGGCTCTCAATCACTAACCTGTCCCTACTGTGGATCTGGCCCCATATCACAGCCGTGTCCTCAGGTAACTTCCCCTCCATGGAGCAGCACAAGGGCATCTGGCCGTGCAGACACCACTCCGGCCCCTAGATCTCAGAGATGGAGTAGGCTGCCCAGAGATGGCTGCCCAGTCTGGGGTCAGAGCAACACACAGGATATGGGCAGCTTGCAATAGTCCCAGAGCTGCCTCTGGCCTGAGATTGGGGCTGAGACGGGGAGGGAAAGCAAGAGGGTCCCAAAGAG